GGAGCAGGGGAGGAGGAGGAGGGGGGAGGGGGAGTTTATATGAAAATAGAGTTTATATGAAACCCAAAAATTTTTACCTCGAAATGAATCAACAGCATTTGAAAGACGAATTAATTTGTCCTCTCCAATCAGGCTCTTCAAATCGCGTATTTCCAAGATGTTCTCCGAATTCTGGGCATTAAGCACAACCACTCTTCCACCGACTCCAAATCTCAGAAACGAATGCGCCACTCGAAATTTCATTGGTTCTAGAGAAAATGCACACATTGAAAATATACTGAAAAAATACTTGAAAATATTCTAAAAGAAATATACTTACAATTTCCAAATAGCAAGAAGATTTGGCCAAGAAGCCGAAATGCAGGAATGGCAGGAGGGGAGGGGGAAGGACGGGACAGGAAAAGGAAAGAGAGGAGGAAGGGGAAAAAGGCAGAATGTAAATATTCATTTAGCATTAGACGCCGAGTTACCGATCAAATTTAAGAATTATAAAAGTTATTCGAGGAGTAAATATCAAATAATTATGAAGTATACCTAAAATATTAGGTATTGAAAACTGCAGAAAAAACAAAAAAAAAAAATAACAGTTATGCTGGGGCTGACTTTCGGCTCATCTACTTATTACAATAATTAGACAATTAGAAAATAAAAAATTTATCTTTTACGACGAAACTCGAAGAAGCATCTGTTATCCTATAGACTAATTTTGTATTCAAAATTTTGTAATTTCGTATTTTTTATTTTTCTTTTCTCTACTCTGAACCCAAATCATAAAACGCATATACCAACAATAGCACAAAATAAAGCTTATAAAAAACGGATCCTACTATTTTGCACGCCTTTTAACTGCCCACCGTAAATGTCCACTTACGATTAGCAAATTATGTTGTTGGATGGCGTTATACGACGTATAAAATACAAAAAAAAAAAGCTCTGCAAACCTTTCAGGCCAGAATCAATGCTAAGATGGTCGCTTTCATCATCACATCTGCTTCCGTGCTCACTTTGCCTAAAAAAAACAAGAACAAAGCTGATTACAGTGAAAAGAGAGGCATTGCCAGTAATCGACAGCACGAAAACTTAATGCAAAAATCCCATATCATGCGTCAAGTTAACGTTTTGGATGACACAAAGGTCCCCCCCCCCCCTCCTCCTGTCACCG